CGTCGTGTCGTCGTCGTCGTCGGGTTAGCGAGCGAACCGCGCACGGGGGTCGCGCTAAAACAACCCCCCCCCCCCCCCCCCCCCCCCCCAATGACGGCGGGTTTCGCTTAGCATGTGAAGGCCTCAAACACTCACCATGCCGCCGCCTGGCCCGTCCTCGGTCCCGAGCGGAGCCTCGTCCTTCCCCCCGGCGTCGGGTCCCGGGTCAGCCTCCTCCTGCAGCAGCGGCGGCTCTCCGCCCTGGTCCGAACTCATCAGCCGCTCCTGGCGCACGTCTAACCCCCCTCCCGGTCCCGTTCTCCCCGACCACCGGCCTGTTGCCCCCCCCCCGGACCCCCCCCCTGTAAGTACCGCCCGTGTGCCGCAGCAGCAGCAGCAGGTCGACCCGGTTCCGGCTGGCCCGCTTGGGGTAAGTCCGGCGACACACACGGAGAGCTAGCGGCTCGCTAGCGAGTAACGGCTACAACACACGGAGAGCTAGCTTGCTTAGCTAGCTAGCCAGCTAGAGGCTCGCTAGCGAGTAACGGCTACAACACGGCTAGCTTAGCTTAGCGCTATGTATGAATCTGGAGGGGGGAACTAGCTCGGCCCCGGCGGCTAGCGGCTCCAAAAAATCAAACTTTGACGCGAGATGTTGGCGGCACGAACGGTAAACCTCCCGAAGAGCGGTTCTCCTCCTCCTCCTCCTTCTCCGCAATTCCGCCAACGACGTCTAGCGAAGCGTTTTCAGCGAGCGACGCGCATTCCTGACCGGACGACCGACGCGGACACTGGGGGACACGCACCTTGCTGCCTCGGCGCAGGCAGCACACACAGTCCTCCAACGTCCCGGCTGGCATTGCGACTCCTGTGACCTTTAGGATCCACGTTTCCTTTTCCTGTTTCCTCCATTTATTAACCGTACGCACACACACACACGGTTTTTTTTACAGTCACCCTGAAGGTCTACGTGCTCCACCCACGACGGAGAGTTGTGCATGCAACATCATGCAAGACATTTGGTGGGGGTTTTGTGCTTTGTTAGTATTGTATTTTTGTGATGATTCAGTGTAAAGGCCGTCTAGTGTAAAGTGTATGGATGGTGACACTCACTGGGAAGTTGAGATGACGAGGGGGATATTCCAGAGAAGTTAAAAAAGTACTACAATCATTTGTTTATTATTTGGAATAAACTATTTAAAAAAATGTGTTTAACAATGTGCACATCCTGAATTAGATAAACAAATACAGACACATACAGATACAATCACTATTTTTTTTGTCAATACTTAACTTTTTCAGAATCTAAAAATCAGGCATAGTCCTACTGTCTATATTTTTTAAACATCTTTTCAAATGCACGCTTTCGTATTATTTGATGAATGCAAGAAGCTGCATAGGCTTGTATTATTTTAGGCCCTAGTTCACAAAGATTATGAACCTAAAAAATATTCGGACTAAACATTTATGTTCCTCATAACCTAACCTATTTAAGACGAGTGTGCAATGGTGATATTATTGTATGCTGAGCTTAGAAGCAAATGTTTTACATATTATTCATATCTAGACACAACATTATTGTAATTGGAGAGAGTTACTAATAAAGGACTAAAAAGGGTGTATTCCCTCTCAACTTACTCTGCTACCAAGAGTTTTACAATTTTTGGTAGTTTGGTCGTTTTAATTTTTTTGCAACATTTTTGGTAATTTTGTACAAATATGCCTTGATCGTGTACAGTATGTGGTACACAACAGCTGTCACGTCGATATTGGCCAGTTCCATTTTAAAGTAATAATCTCATGTAGTTTTTACTTTCAACCTTGTTTCTTTGTTACAATCAACCCAGTGTCACATAAAAGTCTGTAGGGGACATGTTTGTTCTGCTATGTTCAACATGTGATGTTCACACTGGTCACAGTATATAAAAGGAGAAAGGAAAGGAGGTGACTGCTCAGCTGGGTGTCCTCCACTGTTACAAACTAACCTGGAGAATATTTCATGTATACTAGGAAATCATAAAAAAAAGACACTTCTGTCATGATTGTGATACACATTTAATATTGTTCTTGAAGTGCACAAAAACAACCGGCTACAAAATGGGTTCATTGAACACAAAGTGTGAGCGGCAAAAAGTGGTAGTGCAGGAAACATTGACAGTTGACAGAAAGTCTCCTGCTTAAGGCTAACGCAAATAGAAACCAGCATGTTTAATGGAGGATGCTTAGCAAGTCTTTTGTAGGGTCTACTTCTCTACAGACTTCACCATATGAGACTTCTTGATCACATGCTCCATGTCGGCATGCTCAGACGTGTCCAGTTTGATGTTGTATTTGGCCAGGATCTTCATGATGGGCCTGATCTTCAGCCACCACTGTGTCTTGGGGATGCGGTGCCTGAACCACACACACACACACACACACACACACACACACACACACACACACACACACACACACACACACACACACACACACACACACACACACACACACACACACACACACACAGAATGGTATGTAGAATAAACTCTGACCTTGAGTAGGACCTTGGATGAACTATTATAATCAACGTAATTCGCTTTGTGTGTCCGCAGTTTTAGCAAAACAATGCTACAATGTTGTAATGGGTCTTACTCAAAATCGGTCTCCGCTTTCAGATCGACGAGGGGTTGGAATTGGAGTGCTCTTTTTCTCATGCCAAGCACACAGGCAGAGTCTGGTGTGTTCGCAAAGATGCGCCCTAAAGAAAGATTCAAACAGATCCTTTAACACTTGATGGAATCACTGAAACAACAAAACATTATGCCGATCCCTTGGTGTGCATCAATCTCTGAAGAGCACATGATCCCACCGAAACCTCTGAGTTGTGCTTACCGTGTCTATAGCACTCCTTCAGCTTCTCAGTCAGCCATACGACAGACTTGGCACCCATTTTTGTGCCAAAGTTTCTATCAAAAGGCGTCGGGGTTCCGCCCTATGGGAAGACATTCAGAATTCAGACAGGATGAGCAAAGTATAAATATTATTATTAATAATAATAGTGTTATAGTTAAAAAGTGCAAAATTAAACTCTAGCACTGCTAACAGACCTGCTGCATATGTCCCAAGACATTTTTTCGGCAATCGAACACCCCCTTGCCCTCCTCTGAATACAAGTTAAAGATGAAGTCGGTGGTGTAGTTGGCATTAGAGTTCTCATTCCTATGAATGGATGAAAAGAGAGAGGCGTGGTCATAAAACATACAGCAGTTTTACCTATAGTGGCTTTTATCCACATTTTGAACATTGATCAAAGCATATGTATACAAAAGCACCAGAACCTTGATCAAGACAAAACAACAGCAAACATACCTGAGAATCAGCCCTCTCTTTACCGTTGTCTTCATCTTTTGCAGAAGATGCTCCACGTTCAACTGGAAAGTAAATTCACATGTATTTTCAAGTTCAAATACCTCAAAAAACATGTCTGGAGAATGCTGTGGTATGCGTGTATCTCCGTGATCCCACCTCTAGGTCCTTAATGTTGAACTTATCTTCAAAGATGTAGGCTGCGTCTGCCCCGGCAGCCAAGCCGGCCATGGTGGCCAGGTAGCCACAGTAGCCGCCCATGGTTTCTACGATGAACACACGGCGCTTGGTGCCCGCAGCGGACTGCTTGATCCTGTCACAGGTCTGGAGGTAAAAGGAAGACAAAGTGAGCTGGCTGGTATACTATGTTGTGAGTTGAGTTATGAGAAGTTATGTGTGCTGTTGTTTGGATCGTAAGGCACAGCGTTACAGAGGGGAGGGAATGTTATGTTGATTGTGTGCTGTGCAAAGTTCTCATGCATTTACGATAACATATTTTAGAATAATGTGTCCGATGTTGGGTAGTAGTTATGACCCTTAATTAAGTTGTAATTAAGTTCAATTAAAGGAAACACATGCATTAAACTATTAAAAATAAATGTCATTAAACACAATCTGCTACCATTGTTGGACACCGTATGATTTTTATTCTGGAAGTGATGTACAATCATTAGTGTGTGTGTGTGTGTGTGTGTGTGTGTGTGTGTGTGTGTGTGTGTGTGTGTGTGTGTGTGTGTGTGTGTGTGTGTGTAAATGTGCACGCATGTGTGTGTGTGTGTGTGTGTGTGTGACATGTGCGTGTCATTTGTGCGTGTGTGTGCATGAATGTGTGCGTGTGGACAGTACTGACAGAGGTGATGGTGTTGAGAGCAGTGTCAGCGCCGATACTGAAGTCAGAACCGGGGACATTGTTGGAGACGGTGGCGGGAATGACCACCATTGGAATGCACAGCTCCTCGTACTTCTCCCTGGCGTTAACTAACTCCAGGCCCCCTACATACGCCTGCAGGTGTGCAAGAAGCGGTTGCAGGTCAGTTTCTGGGAATACTGGCACAAGATGCTAATTAAAGTACCAGTGAAATAAGTAAAATACCAATACTTCCCCAAGGACAGGGTTGGGTAGAAAAAAACATGACAGTAACATGGGGAGATTAACTGTGAGATTAGCAGAGCTAGACTGTGATGCCATACCTCAAAACCGCCGATGATCACCATTGCATGGATATTGTGCTTGGCGATATTCAAGCTGATTTCCTCCACCATTTTACCTGGCAAGGTTCTAAAGATTGAAAGAAAGAGGAAAACAGAATGATAAACTTCCTGAACGGTATGACCTTTCTTGTATTACCGTCCATCATGTATTTGAAGTATGATAAAACAATGTTGTACCTCTTAGTACCAAGCATTGACCCTCCCTTTCCAGTCCAGCCACTCACATCAGTCCACGTAAGCGGCTCAATCTGGGACCAGAGAAAAGTATTATGAAATGTACTATAATATGACTAATATTATTACTAGTAAGTTAGTATATTAGCAATACTACACAAAAACACAAAGTGTTGCTTACACTTACTATTAACATAATAACAAATTGTATATGCCCTTTGGTGAACGCTTTTATCTAATCCAAAACATATTACAATAACATGAGTACATACATTTCTTAGCATGGGTGGCCGGGCCCCAGTGGGAATCGAACCCCTAACCCTGGTGGTGTTAACGCCATGCTTTACCAGTTGAGCTATACAAGACCACTAATGATAGTAATAAATAATAAAAATAAGTCTTTGTAATTGTAACTTCAACCAGCAACTGAGGTTGATCTTACTCCTTATCTAAACTTGGATGTGTGTTGTGTGAGCAACAGTGCCCTATTTCAGACCAGACAGACAGACATCAACAGACTGTACACACATTTCCGTGCGCGAGTCCGTCGAAGCCGTCGTACACCGCCAGCATGTTGTGTCCCTGTATGATGCCCATCCTGGCGGCCGAGCGAACTGCGGAGTTCATACCGGCGCACGGTGCACCGATGTTTATGATGGCCACGTTGATGTTGCTCTGGGAATCAATGAGAGACGTTACGGGTTAAACTCAGCAGGAGCAAGGAGGAGAAAGGGTAGTGGTGGGGGTTAAATTTGACTTTGTCATTTCCCTCACCTTAACTTCTGGAGGGTTGATGTGGGCAAGGAGCTTGTATGTGTTCCAGTTGTTCTCAAAGCTCCTGTGCAATGCAACAAAACAAATTATGACCTGAGTCGCATATATAATGCATTCAATATTAGCTCTAAATATTAGTTCTTCTAGATATTAGTCAAAAGCCAATATTCATACTTTCCCCTCAGCTTGATCGCATCCTCAAATCTGCCCTCAGACATGGCTGCAGTGACATCCTTGGTCTGTGAAGGAGTTAGAGCGTTACACCACACATAGTAGAGGCGGAAGTAGAAGATATTAGAAGTAGAAGAGATGTTTAGGTGGCTTAAGGCAGGGGGGGGACATACCACTTGTACACACTCCATGAGGGGCAGTCTGATGGCCTGGTTCCCTGAGAGACTGACCACACAGGCCGGGGTGTCTGGAGTGGCCTCCAGGAGAGCCATCACAGCCTCCACTCCCATCCTGCTTCCCTGGAGATGGGGTGAGAGAAGAATATTAATGCATTCGAGAATTGTCTCATGGCCAGTGTAGCTGGAGTGTAGTTGGTTGTCTGAAGTGCAATCTACTGTTCACAAAGAGGCTGTATTGCAGTATTGTAATATTGTTTGTATTGGCAGTAATATTGTATGGTAGTATTGTAGTCGTGGTTGTAAGTCTTTGAAGACATCACAAATCCTGATGCAATTACAATCCACCAGTCCATCAGGACTACAGTAATATATATGGACTAGTATGTATTGATATGTTTAGCCGTACAGATAGATTCGATACACAGGCGCTTTCCACACTAACAGTGGAAAGCGCAGCTTACATGGAAGTCATAGGAGAGGAACATTCAGTCGTTCTTCATGGATACGTACCAGGATTCTGTCAAAAGCAGAAGGCGTTCCACCTCTCTGTACATGTCCCAGGACGGTGGCGCGCGTGTCAAAGCCAAGCCTGTCAGTCACAAGCTACAACAAACCATCTGTATTATTATGGAGCATATATACAACGTATCCAAACTTCATGTTAGCCTGCTGATCTATATAGGGGAGCCTACCTTCTTGATCTGGTCAGAAGTGATGGGTTTTCCAGCTCTGGACATGGCACCCTCAGCCACAATGATCACGTTCAGACGAGAACCTCTTGCTCTTTGCTACAACGTCAGACCAAAACAATCAAATGAAGATCACAACACTACAGCCGGGGATATGTAGTTAACAAATTGTTTCCAAGTTATTTTGTTGATATGATACGAGTGTATTGAAGACGTACGTCTGCCAGCCTCCTGCACAGATGTTCCTCCCAGCCCTCATCTGGGGGCATCTCAGGGATGAACACCCAGTCGGCTCCACAGGATAAGGCTGTGACCAGGGCCAGGTAGCTGTGCACAAACACACACACACATGTAGTCCGAGTTGAATGTTCAACAATTCAACATGCCTGCCACAGGCAACATAATTGCCTGTGGCAGGATGATAATTATAATGGTAATACAGTTCTGTTCGCGAGCTAAGTCATTCACTCCTGTACACAGGCACACACCTGCAGGCATGTACACACACACACACACACACACACACACACACACACACACACACACACACACACACACACACACACACACACACACACACACACACACACACACACACACATATACATACATAGAACAGTACTCACCCACAGTGTCTGCCCATCACTTCCAGAATAAAAGTCCTCTGGTGGCTGTAGAAAGTAGAAAGAATATTCTAAAAACTAAACACGTGGTCAATATAATGTAAATTGTGCTTTCAGCTAGGGGAAGTACCAAGAATGGTGAATTAATGAAGAATGAAACTGTTCTATTTTGTTAGGAAAATCCTATCTAATAACTAGCCACATCTCATCTAAAACCACATCATTCAGTTGTGTGTGTATGACGTGATGGGGGTGAGTGACCAGTGTCTCTGACCTCTGTGCGGTGGTGGTGATGGCATCCACCACCTCGATGATGCGGTGCAGGGCCGAGTCCGTACCGATGGTCATGTCGGTTCCACAGAAGTCATTGTCGATGGACCCTACCATGCCAACGATGTTTAGGTGGGAGGACTTGCTCGCCTCATCCTTGGTAATTTTACCTGGACACACCAAGTCACTAACGAGTTATTGTACATACAAATTATCGTTAATAACATGAAAAAATGTGTCAGAGTACCTTCTATGTTAGTTTTAATTGTATTTACAAGCTTAGGTAATGCTAACCCCTCCTTCAGCTTATATGCCATGTATGTCCCTATTCGCCCCCCCCCGCCCACAATGTGCCTATCACCACCCCAGTCCTATATCTCACCAGCTTTCACCAAGTCCATCAACAGTCCACTCCACTCTGTCCTGAACTGGTTGGCGCCGGTGAGGCTGCCGTCGCCTCCGATCACACATAGGTTGGTGATGCCCAGCTTCACCAGGTTGCAGGCGGCCTTCAAGCGGCCCTCCCTGGCCTGGAAGTCCATGCACCGGGCGCTGCCAATCACAGTGCCACCCTGGGATGGGAGATGGATGGGGTTAATGAAGGCGTCTAGTGACGTTAAGCATGTTACGTATGTGTGCTAGTAGATGAAGCTCCTCCTGTATTACTCTCTCAATGCCAACCTCCTTTGTTACGGTAATTCATTGTTTCAAAGACAGGCCATAAACCACCATTAGAGCTTGAACTTTTGACTTCTGAATACCCTCATACAACCAGACACCTTTGTTTGTGAATCTCATTTAGTATGATGCTTATGATACGGGCACTGTGTTTGCTACATACACACCAGCTGCAGCATCATAGACACACTCTCCCATGAGGCAGGCTTGATGTTGTCTCCTCCATCCACCAGTCCTTGGTAGCCCTGGAGCACACGACAACATGGTACTTTTTTATATTATCCAACAGCATCACTGTTGCTTTTTAAATCTGAAAAACACATGTCAGTGTAGTGAAATAGTTTGCAATGTTTTATGTCAAAGAATATGATATACCTCATGGACAAAAAAGACTTTGGCTCCAGTGTATAGGCCAACTCTGACAGTGGCCCTCACAGCTGCATTCATACCTGTTACACACAAGTATTGGTGTAGGTCCATTATGTTTGGAAGGTTGGGGTTTAAAACAACTACGCAAACAAGCAGTGGTGGCAATTTTCCGGTTTCAGAAAATAAAAGTCCCGACTAGTTGGTGGTGATCAGCTGATTATTACTTACACTAAAACTCAAAATACCAGGGGTGGACTTTTTGCATTCTTGTGCTGGAATCTCCACCTCTGCAAATTACATTAAAAAATGTATGTTCTACCATACGATCAACACTGAGGCTATGGCTAAAGCAACAACATGGCTTTAGGCCATGGCTAAAACAAAAGGTCACCCAATCACGAAGAAATGTAACTTTAGAGGACATATAGCCTTTAATGATACTTGACGTGGTTATTGGAGTCAGTTTGGACAAAAATAGTCCATACCACGTTGAGGAAAAGAATAATGTCAAAGTGCGACTATGTAAAGCGGCTCCTGATGTCGGAGGACTAAAGGCCATAGTGTGAGGCTTGTGTGATGGCAGTCTGCCATATAGGCTCTGGTTTCACCACATGGCAGCTGTGGACCCGTCCACCCGTCCATTCCAGAAAAAGGTCACAGTCACTAAAATTAGGACCGCAGCAGTAATACAGAGGGACGGGTCAAGGGGAAAGGGCTCATTGAAGATCCAATGCAAAAGGTTAAAGGGCAACTCAAAGTGACAGATAGCTACGGAAGCTATGGTATAGCTATGCACAAGCAATTATACTGCAGTGATAGAAAGAAGAGAAAACCTGAAAGGCCATTAACTAACTTCAAACTAAGATTAGATGATAACTTTAGTTGATTACTTACTTAAGTTTAAGGTAACTTTTTTAAAGTTGATACATGGTTGTAGTTTGCAGACATATTAAAGGTAACTAAAGTCTATTCCTTAGATTGAATGAACTGTGGTGGTTTGCAAATTTAAGTTATATAAAATATTTGCCTGCAATTAGCTGTCAATGCATTAACCAGACAGCCATTTATATAGAATATAAGTTTAAGAGCTTGTATTGTGATGCTTTTGTTGTTAAAGTTCACCTACAACAGAGAGTATATATACTCTAGCCAACAACTCCTGACATCTGACCTTTAACCTTAGTAACAATAATCAAATCTCCACAGCAACCTTTCTGCGTACTTAACAGAACATTTAAACTAAAATAGACAGAGGGCATTTCAAGTATGCTTCATGGATTTTCTTTTCTTAATCATTGTCGATTCAAAGGTGAACCTTCATTGCCAAAGCAACAACAACAACAACAACACTGCTTCCCCCTCTCCTCTTCATTATGGTACAACCCCCTGCTTACCTTGGGCATCGCCTCCCGAGGTCAGCACAGCAATGGAGCGACCTATGCCCATCTTGGTGGGGTCCATGCTGCTTGACTGCGAAGTCTTGGACATGTCTCCAGAGGAACCAAACAGAGAGCTTGGTTGCTTGGTTGAGAGAAAAGGAGCAGAAATCAAGCGCTACTGCTTTCTCTTCCCGCTCTCTTTGCTTCTCAGGGGAGGGAGGGGTGA